TATTGCTCCTATCACTCCATACAAGACTTTTTAAAATGAATAACAAAGTCTGGGTCTGTAGCTCATGCCACTTACACAAACAGTGTGACCACGGGAAATTACTTTCTACTCTGTGCCTTAGTTTCCTCATCTGTAAGATAGGAATATAGTCATAGTGTCCTGAGGATTAAGTGAGTTCACGCCTGGCATACAGTTTGCACTTAGTAATGGTTTACTCCTGCTGCTCCCACCACTATTGCTATTACCACCAATACTACTATAGTTTGGAAGAATGAACAAACAAGAATGAATAGTATGATTTTCAGAATAATAATAATACAATTAATTGTCATGGTAATCAAAATAGTATGGTACTGATGCAAGAATCAAACAGATCAACGGAAGAGCACATATAACCCTAAAACACACACACACACACATACACCCCATGCATATATTTAAATATAATTAATGAAGCTTAATAAACTAATTAGAAATGGGTTAACAAATGGTTTTAGTCAACTGGTTCAGCAGCAGGAATAAAAATCAAATCAACTGAATTAAAAACATAATTTTTTTAAAAAAAGCACACAGAGGAAGAAATATGCAGGCAAACCTTTATGTAGATTTGGAATTGGGACAGACTTTTTCTATGTTGAAGAAAAGAAATTACCACAGCGAAGTGAAAAATTTGGAAAGATAGAATCAATAACATAAAAAAGGTTATCTGCCTTATAAAATATCTCTAAGCCAAAAGAAAAAAAATGGAAGAGCAATGAATGAACAATTTCAATTAAGGAAAACTTACCCAATAAACAACTGAAAAACATTTGACCCCATTAGCTCCCTAAAAAATGCAAATCGAAACAAAGTGTATTTCTGTATTGAAAATCAGCACAGTGCTCAGTGCTGGCAAAAGTGCAGCAAGACAAACACGCTCATACTGGCGGGGAGGTGCTAAGTGGCACACCAGTCGCAGGAGCACCAGCAAGACCCTGGAAGTTCACACCCCTCCACCTGGTACTTCCGTTTGTAGACCCTTCTCAGGGAAACAACCTCAGTTAGAGAAAAAGACTCCTGCACGCAGGGTGCTTTGCTGCAAGGGGATTGACAATGGTGATACACAACCTGGCTGTCCAGCACTGAGGGAATAACAGCTGAATCAAAGATGGAAACCCATACCATGAGATGTGATGCAACCATTAAAACATCCCAGCTTTGAAGGTGATCATGTGGTAAGACCTTTCCCTTTTCCTCAATTATATTAAAAGGAAAAACAAACCCAGCCTGTGAAACTATACATAGCATTTTCCCCAAGTTTGAATAACTAAATAAAAAAACTAGGTGTAGAAAAAGGGTAATACAAATTGTGATAACAGTGGCTAACTCGGTAATAAGCTTATGAGCTATTCATATTTTATTTTTTATTTCACATTTTTTACAAGTTTTCTACCATGCGTATGTAGAACCTTAATGCTCGGGAAAACAATAAATGTCTTTAAATAAGGAAAGATGTCACCCACAGGATGAAAAACAATCAACAACACTCAACCCTGCTAAGGGCTTTCAAAAACCTTCCTAGCGTCTATAACGCTTACCAGTCACGCTCTGCTTTTCACTTTCCAGCGACTGCCTTCACGCCTGCCGAAGGAACTGTGACCAGAACCCCTCGGCAAGGCGTGCCCGTCAGGGCCTGGGACTCAGCCTTTCCCTTGCCTCAAGCTGCTGTCTGCTCCCAGCCACATTCTTACTTCCCTGTGTACAAACAGGCACAGCTCTGCTGGCCCAATCAGAGAAGTCCTTTTTTTCTTTCTTTCTTTCTTTTGTTTGTAGTATTAAAAAAAAATCCAACTATCATTCATCCATGGTGAAATTTCTTACACATAGATATTTCTTACCTTACTGTCAGAGTTTATATTTTCCCAGGTCCTAGGCACTATGACCTGGTATGCTGTATTCTTGTACAAAGGATTTCTTTCACTTGTTTCAATGTGATTTATAAAGTTTTTGGTTTGTTAGTCATTTCAATTGCCAATATTAAAAATCATCTCCTTATACTTCCCTATTTTTGTTGCCTAGTTACTTTAATTTTTTTTGTACAAGGTAAAACACTAATTCCTTTTTTTTCATTCCAATAAACTATGTGAGATGAGAGAGAAATTTCCATGACCCAGAAAAGATACTGATGACCCTGACTGGATAAGAACCCCACTGGGAACTTTTCCCAACTGGAATGTGAATGGTTGGTTGCCTTTGGTAACCAGAAGATAAAAACTGGGAGAAGTCTGCATTTCTTTATTTTGTAATCAAAAAGCAGATTCAAGCTCTGACCTGTTCGGCACACGTTCTTTTATATAATATCACAGCTAAACATTAAGCATTTGTGCCCACACTTCTCCCAGAATTCAGTCTGCTCTGTCTGAGCAAGGTGAGTAAAAATCAATTATTTGTATTGATCCAGTGCCTAAAGCCAGAATCTTCACTTGGAATTTCATTTGAAGCAATTTCCCTTTTGAATGCTTAAATAAAGAGGTATGTATTTGATGGGAAAAGAACTAAGGAGAAACGTCCTCAGTTCTCTTCTTCCACACAATATAGTGGCCACAACAGTCCCCAGTCCAGGAACAGAGGGAAAGTTCCAAGAGGGATGAATTAGGAAAGAAGGAGGTGGGAGGAGGAAGCAAAGAACTCAGTGGGCTCCAACAGTGGGCTGCAAAATAATGCCAGCCCGCTGAAGTTAGAGGCTGTGCACAGTAGGTTGCAGCTAAAATCTCCAGCAGCCTTTGAGAAACTACCACCACACATTATGGCTGAGCACTGACTGTCAAGGATCAGAGAAGCAAAGATCTGGGAAGACACTCTGCCCGCCAAAGAAAATGGCAAGTGCCAAGAGCCTCAGGTTGGCATGACCTGGCAGGTGTGGGCAATGTGACCGAATCAGTATGGCTGGAGAATGTCAAGATGAGGTAAAGGAGGTCAGTAGGGCCAGATAGCACAAGGCCTTCCAGGCATTAGAAGGACCTTGGATTTTACTCCTGGAACCATGGAAATCTTTGGAAGACTGATCACTGGTTCTTGAGACAGAATTGTCCCATTCAATTTTCACAAAAGTCAATCAAAGTAGTAAGTCTGTAACAGATTAAGTGACACCCACACTACTTAACGTTGTCCACGAAGCCCCACATCCCACGGCTCTACTCACATCACCAGCCTCCCCTTCTTCACCTGTACCTGCCCCAGGGCTCTGAGGTCTTAGTGCATCTGTTCCTGCCATCTAGAATATTCTCCCCAGAGCCCCCATGCCCTCCCCAAATATCCCGATACTATCTCTCTGAAGTAGTACAATGCCTTCCCATCCTTTCCTTTCCGTTTAAGTGTCACCTCCTCAGAGCTCTTTCCTGGTCTCCTGGCCTGAAGTTGGTTCCTCTTGCCTCTCTCTCACAGCACCTGCTCTTTTCCTTCACAGCATTTATGACAAGTATAAATTTATTTGTTTAATGTCTGCATTTCCCACTAGACTGAGAGTTTTGAGAGAATGGAAACATGTCAGATTTATTTATGACTGATATCCAGGACTTAATAAATATTTGATAAATGGATACAAAAAACATGTCATATATAACAAACAACACCGCCAGTTGGTTCTTCGAAAAGATCATCTAAACCTTTAGACTGATCAAGAAAAAAAGAGAGAAGACTTAAATAACTAAAATAAGAATGAAAGAACTGACAACACTATTGACCTTACAAAATGGATTATAGAGGAAAGAATTATAGGGGAATCTACAAACAGCTGTATGCCAACAAATGAGATAACTTAGATGAAATGGACAAATTACTAAAAGGTACAAATTACCACAACCGACTCAGTAATTAATTAAAAAAACAACAGACCTATAACAAAGTAAGAGACTGAATTCATAATTAAAATGCTGCTCATCAAAAAACCTAAGTCCACGTGGCTTCCCTGATGCATTCTATTAACATTCAAAGAAAAATTAATACCATCCATTAATAAACTCTTCTAAAAATTAGAAGAGTAGGGAACACTTCCTAGCTCATTCTTTAGACTAGTACTACCCTGATATCAAACTAAAAAAAGATAGCCCAAGAAAATAAATCTATAGACTATATCTTTTGTGAATACAGATGCAGAAATCCTCAACAAAATACGAGCAAACTAAAATCAGCAACACCTAAAAAGGATTATGCACCATGACCAAGGAGGATTATTCCAAAAAAGCAAAGTTGGTTTAACTTCCAAAAATCAATTACTGCAATACACTATATTAATACAGTAAAAAACAAAGATCACATAATCACCTCAAAAGATGCAGAAAATCCCAACAGTTTGATTGCAAAACACTCAACAAACTAGAAATAGAAGGGAATGTCTTCAACCTGATAAGCTTGATGCAAATAATGCATAGCTAACATCGCACTTAATGGTGAAAGACTGAATGCTTTCTTCCTAAGATTAAGAACAGAAGTTCTGGCCAGGGCAATTAGACAAGAGAATAAAATAAAAGTGGACAAGAAGTCATAAGACGTCCACAAACCTGTTTTTGCTCTTTTGTTTTGTTTTGAAAAAGGTCATATAGTGATATGTTAGGTGCTTAGAGTACCTAGTAGGCATTCAATAACTACTGGTTATTATGTTCACGTAATAACATTTTCTCTTCCTAAGTGTCTGTTGTGCCATGAAACCACATTAAGATATAAATGTGGGAAGAGAAGAAAGACCTACCTTTGGAAATGCTGGCAGTTGGGCATCAGAGCCTTTCCAATATAAAATATTTATATATGCTGAACTTATATGACAAGGGATTTACTTGTGGCTCAGAGTGACAGCAATTTATGTTATATATCCTTAATAAGGCTCAATCACTTGAAGACTTTTAAACTGTCAAATGCAAAACTGGACTCCATTTAAGAACAATAGCCATTCTATTCCCATGGCCAGCAATTCCCACAATGCACCAAGAGCAAATGGGCTCAAAAAGCAGAAAACACATACTCACGTTCCTCAAGACAGGAAGCGCCAACTGTTCAAAAGAAGTCACATCAACCACATACTGCCCAACTCGGCATTCACGTTTTCCAGGTGGAGGCTCTAACCTGAATGAAAAGACACTGTTCTTTGGTGAAAGATTCTTGTATCGATTTCTAGTTTTTAGCTGCTCTGCTGAGCAGCTGGCATTCCACATATGCTAAGTCATCCCAAAAAATTACCTACACAAAAAGTAGTAGTGGGCAAAACTGACCTGATTTGGTTTTCTCTCCTTTGAACTGAGCTGCCACTAAGCGTCCATACCACCACTCATGTGCCTTGCAGTTATGATGGTAGGGCCATCACCAGAGCCAGGGAGCTATGGCATCAGCTATCTTTGAAAAGCGGCACTAAAACAGGGCTAAGACTTCAACATGAGAGGCGTTTATGACCCCATGGAATAAGTTATAAGTAAGATATGACTTTTGGATACTTGTTTTCCCCACAATGGTCTCACTTCTGATTTCTTTCTCTGAGAAGTCTCTAAGGCCCAAGATTCTTCAAGATGGATGAGATTATTTGGTTCAACCTGTACAGGGAGAAGCTCTGAGCCTGAAGGGAAAGCAGATTCACACCCAAGGACCCAACAGGGTGACTGCTTTTGGTGAATTGAGCTCTTGTGGAACTGGAATAGAAAAGCTCCCATAACACAGATGGAAGGACATCTTAGATAATAAAACTCAACGGGAATAAAGCGTCAGTACCCAACTCTAGATAAGAGCCCCTGGGTGCCAGACAACGTGACGACATCGAATCCTATTCTTCTCCCTCCCTGTCTGACTTCTTCTGTATAAAATCCATCAACGGGCACAGCAGAGGACTTTAAAATCTCACTGGCTTTCTGGATCAATGTTGTTTTTCCAACACCTAAAAGAAAAAAAGAAAAAGCCCATTAGGAAACACTCCCTTGCTGGAGCACACCCAACACTTGCTGACTCTGAGAGAGCAACCATGATGGGCAGAAAAATGGGCGGCAAATGGGTTTTATGAATATTGATTTCACTTTAATTTTGACCTCTTGCAGGTGTTAAAACTTTTCAATTTCAAGTAGAAAGAAGCATAATAAAAATGTGAATGATACCTTGAGGTTTATTTTTAAGTTCTGAACCATTATTAGTTTTGTCACACACACAATCCCAGAACCAACTGAGTGGTTTTCTGATAATATTCTCAAGTGCAATTTCTATCCTATGAGACAGCTTCTATTTTCTCCTAGGTTACCATCCTCACATTTCCACCCAGGAAGTAATACTGGTCAGGCTTGAGTCAGAAGCTAGGGACTCTAAACTAGGATTCCAACTTTCAAGAGATTACGGACCTACACTCAACAGAGGGAAAATCACCTTACTCCTCCCTGAACTTACATTGCTAAATCTCCTGAAAATGCATCTCTTAAATACCAAGAACAACCCTAGAAACGGTCATTTCTAAGGTTTTTCACAAGAAAATCCTATGTTTCCAACGCCATCTTCTCCAGTCCCTAGGCATTCCTGTAGCCTCACCCCAACTCCTTTCCACACTTGAACCTGTGCTCCTCCTCACCCTCTTCACTGTGACCGTTCCTTTTCTCCAGCCTCCGTTCCTTTCCTTTCCTGCAGACACTCTGGCAAACTCTTGTGAGCTGATATAATAACAGTAATCGCTGGCATTGCAGAGGCAGACACTGTGCTAGCACTCTTTACAAGCATTTCCTTGTTTAAGTCCTCACAGCCAGCCTCTGAGGTAGTTACCATCCTGATCCCTATTTTACAGACAAAGAAACTAAGGCACACAATGGCCAGGTAACTCACCCAAGGTTAGACACCTAGCAAGGACCATACGTGTCAACAGGGACCTTTATCACCATGTCTTTGTTTTATATGAGCCTTGTTCCCAGCATGGATTTAAGTGAGTGGCATCGTGTTTCCCACAATGGGAAGAGTGGGAAAATCCAAGTAGGTCTGCAACTGGGCTATTTTGAGATACCAGAGAGTTACAAATCAGGCCATTTCCATGGCCACCCCCACAGAGTCAGTCGGTTCCCCAAGATGCCTTTGGAGCGTCCTTGAAATAAAATATGATTCGTTATTCTTATTTACTGTATCTCTCCTTCAAACCTCACACTAAAATAATGGTATCTAGACTTCTGGAACATGAACAGAAACCCAAAAGGATTCCAGCCACAGGGAGCATATGGTTGGTAAGAGAACTGTCCCACATAAAATGTGAAGTTCTAATCCCAGGTCTGTAACTCAGTACCGGTTGCTTCAGGAAAGTCACTGAAGAACCTGTTGAATGCAAGCCATGGCAATTTACAAGGGAGACGCTGGCACTCCTTTGCTGAAGGGCAATCTCAATGTGCCTACTACCCAGCAATTCCATAACTAGGAATTCATTCTCAGTAAGTAATGAACAACAATACAAAGACGTGTGAAATACAATGTTCACTGCAACATTCTTTATAATAGCAAAGCATTGAGAACAACCTAAATGTTGAACGGTAAGGGAATGCTAACTTACGACAATACCATGTACATATTAGCACTTAAAGACACACGAATACCATGCAGTCATCATAAAGAATACTGTTTACATATATTAATATGGAAAACAGACAACAGGTAAAAAGAATATATGAAAAAAGCATGGTAAGTAACAGGAGAAATATACAGTATTATTCCACTGTATTTTTTTTAAGGTGAAGCACGTATGTATCTACAGAAGAAAATGTCAAGAACACGGAACACAGATTTACAGTGCTGATTTCTGTATGTTGGAATCCATGTGATTATCCTTTCATCCTTAACATTTTGTTTTTAAAACTCTTACACTGCATGAGTGTTACTTTTATTCTAAGAAAAAACAATGAGATTTGTATTATGAAAAAGATAAAATGGAGCAACTGAGGCAATTCTTGTTCACACAAGTTAATAATCTGGGGCTTGTATCATGTAGAACATAATGAAACAATAAATATGAAGCATTTGCGTCAATTCCCTTTTGGCTTCTTCAGCTCCAGAAAACTTTCAGTTCATTTTTTTCACCTTCATTAGTTAAGCTGCTATCCCAATGCCGTCTACACTGGCTAAGAAATCACCCGTGCTGCAGGAGAACCCAAGATGACAGCTGCACATCATGCACAAACAACAAACCAGAAAGCTCTAGGATTATTTTGGTTCTGGTTCTCCCCTAAGCAGACCCTCAGAAAAAGATTCGAGTGTAGGTAGTTGAACTTGGCAAGTAAGAAAGTGGAAAAGGGAAGGACATCAGCTTGGGTTGCATTATCAAGCAAGTTACCATTAGAGGCAGCTAAAGCTTCATCCCACTGGGGAAATCCTAGGAGCCAGCTTAGGGCACCTGTCTGAGGGGTGAGGGATTGGGGAGCTTGTCCACTAATTTTCACCAACCACGAGTTGTGGGCTAATGATCCTGGAGGAATGGAATTTCTTGGCACTTCTGTGTGCAGGCCAAGTGGGCTCCATTGACCAGAGAAAGTCCTCCAAGATGAGTTACAAGAGTCGACAATTGGAAGTCAGGAAAAATGCTAAGTGCCAATGGCACTGAGAACATGTGCAACAAAAAGTGACTTATTTGAGAGGACAATGGTCGGAACATACTGGGAATATTGAGACAGAGAGTTTGGAAGAGTTGGTGATAGAAAGTAGACAAATGAAAGGATAATCAAATGAAAATACCAGACATTTAACTCCAAACAGGGTGGGGGGGCAGTTGTGGATAAAAGGAAAAGAAAGAGCTTATTATGTGCCTCATTAGCTTTTACATAGCCTTTATTCTATGAACATTGACAACTGAGCTAATGAAAATTACACTGTAACTACTTTAGGAAGAGAAGAAAGGGACATGGGTGGGCTTGAGGACAGGTTTAAGAGAGCTACTTGAGTCTTTGATAAAGAAGGAAGCAGAGGCCAGGCTTGGTGGCTCAGCCTGTAATCCCAGCACTTTGGGAGGCGGAGGTGAGTGGATTGTCTGAGCCTGCAGCCCAGTCAAATTGGGAAGACCTCGTCTCTACAATAAATCAAAAATTAGCGTACGCCTATAGTTCCAGCTACTTGGAAGGCAGAGGCAGAAGGATCCCCGGAGTACAGCAGGTTGACGCTGAGGTGGCCGTGAGCATGCCACTACACTCCAGCCTGGGCGATAGAGTAAGACTCCAACTCAAAAAAAAAAAGAAGGAAGCAGAAAGAACGATCACCAGTACAATCAAGATAACAGAACACCTCTGTAATGAAATACCCAGATATCTTGGGGCCAGCCTACTGATTATCAAACTGCATTCCAAGTTTCAAATACAGGATCGACAGACCAACTTTCAGAAGACGGTTCTTTGCAATATTTGAGTGTCTTTGGTTAGCAGACATTCTCAAACCACACTCCCCCTCCTTACGCTCTCCCCTCCACTGCCAGGTAAAATAACATTCCAAAGTCTGCAATATTAAGTGCAGCCCTTGCTACTTAAGGCAAAACATACACATTAAAATAAAGTGAAAGAGAATCCCAGGCCCAGATACAATTTCTGATCTCTGAACCCTCCACTAATTTCAAAACTAGACCTGCCTTGCGAAGAAGCCGAAGGAAAATCACTTTTTGCACTCTCGACCCATCTTTCACAACCCATCTGATGCGGTCGCCACCTCCCTGCCTCTCCTTCGACTAATGCCTGATACACGAATAGCACCTTGGTTTGAAAAACACATCTCCTCCTACAGTCTCTCATTTGACCTCACGCTATCCCATTTCAGAGATGGGAACTGCACGGGCCACGGGGTTGAGGGACTGGACACGGGCACTGGGAGGCGACAGGGGCGTCTGAAAGGGAACCCTGTAGGGCTCAAGGCTTCCCCACCTGGGGCCTTATCCGTGGAGGGAATTCGGGGGGAGATGAGCTTGGGTGGGGGGAAAGCGGGAATTCGGGGGGAGATGAACTTGGGTGGGGGGAAAGCGGTTCGCCTTCAGCGTGGCGCTCCTCCCGCTGAAGGGACCCGTTTCCTTTCGTGAAGAAGGTAGGCTGGGCGCCACGAGGAAGGGCGCGGCGGTGACTCTCCTAAGTCGAAAGCGGACGTCTTCGCATCACATCCCGGCGGGTGCAGACCTCTTGCCACACCGTTTGGGCACATCGCGACTTCGGTACGACAGTGACCACCGCTGCCGCTGGATGCGGCGGTTTCCTCCCGAACTACCTAAATGAGGAAGCTCAGAGGCCCGAACCCTGGAATCGGCCGCCCTTCCTCGACGGCCCCGCGCGCCCCCAGACCGCGCAGC